TATAATCCTAGCTATTTAGGAGGCTGAGATCTGAGGACCCTGGTTCAAAGCCAGACTAGGCAAGAAAGGCCGTGAAACTCTCATCTCCAATAAACCACCAGAAAACCCTAAGCGGCGCTACTGTAGCTCAAGGGGTAGAGTGCTAGCCTTGAGCTGAAGAGTTGAGGGACAGCGCTCAGGCCCAGAGTTCAAGCCCCACGACTAACAACAACAAAAAAAAATTTCCCTAGAAAAGAACCACACACAGAAACACATACACAGTTATTTACTACCTTAGAATAGTTTGAAAAGGTTATTTAATAATCTAATGATTATACTTAACATATTTATAATTTGGTCAACATCCTAAGAATTAGGATGTATTATCCACATCCCTCTATATAGTTTTTATATAGATCTTCTGACAACTACAGAGGCAGGCTTAGGAAAAAACTCAATATTCCCCAATTTATGGTACTAACTCTATAAAACGCCTGTTTTCTAATTATTTCATGTAATACCTTAAAAGACTGGTTCTTAGTTAAGTCTAGTATGAAGCAAAATAAAAAATAAGCACTAAATTTTTACTTTCCATAGTACCATTTAAACAAAACAAATTTTTGTAAAGAAAATTGTTTTCCATTTGGAATTTTCCCATCTCTGCAAATTTTAATTTAGAAAACAGGACTTAACAGAAAGTATGTTGTCATAATTTTTCAATTCTATTAGAATTACCATGCTTCTTTACATCACATTATTATATTGAAAATAATTTAAGTATATTACAAATCAATCGCAGCCTTGCAAAGTTGTTGCTATAAATCATATGACTTAAAGAGGAGGGGAAGCTAAATATTGTATTGTTTACCCATAGTAATTTTTTTCATAGATAAACATACTATGTATAAGTGCTAATAAGTGTAACATATTGTCAATTTTCATAAGCTTTGTAAAATGCTCTTATATTTCTAGAAAAAGACCAATAAGCCAGGCACCAGTAATCCTAGCTACTCAGGAGGCTGAGGATCACGGTTCAAAGCTAGCCTGGGCGGGAAAGTCCACGAGACTCTTATCTCCAATTAACCACCCGAAAACTGGCAATGGCATGTGGCTCTAGTGGTAGAGTGCTTATCTTGAGATGAAGAGCTCAGGAACAGCACACACAACCCACAAAATTAAAAAAGCACAATAATTCTGAAGTTTAGTCATCCTTCAGTATCTGTGAGGGACTGGATTCCAGGACTTTCTGGATACCAATACCAAAACCTGCACATGCTCAAATTGTTTATGTAAAAATAGTCTAGTATTTGCATATAACCTTTGTATATAACCTAAATACTATGGAACGAGTTGTTAATTGTATACTTAGGGAATAATGACAAGGAAAAAAATCTACATATCAGTATAGTCACAATTTTTTCCTCAAATATTTTCAACCAATAGTTTGTTTAATCCACAGATGTGGATGCATAAGGCAAGCTGTATGCAGAAAGACGCTGAAATATTAATAGAATTACAACTGGAAAATGAATTTAACCAGAAGTAATTTCCTTGTGGAACCCGTAATTTCCTTGTGGAACCCAGAAATAATAACAACAACTTTAAAAGGAGGGCTGATAGAAAAAAATAATGAGCAAGAAGATAGTGATAGGAATTAATATATGTGTATGTTCATGAAAGTAGCATTAATAAGCCCTACTAAACAATGTAAAATAAAGGACGATATGAAAAAAGTAATAGAAGCAGTGAATTTGATCAAAGTAATTATGTACATTATGGAAAATGCCACAATAAAACTCTTTTGCACAATTAATATAATTAAATGAAAGTGAAAAAAGTAAGTAATTTCTCCTAGAAAGTATTTAATTCTGAGAAAAATCAACCTGTAGCCTCATATATTTATATTTATATTTGGATTCAAACAAAATTGAATACTCTATGAAAGAGAATCTACACCAATCAGAAAAGTTATCTGAATGGCTTGTAAAAACACAATTAAGTAACAAATTATATTTAACATTAAAAAGAGGTACTATAATTGATGTACTATTTGAAATATTTCATTACATTTCCTAATTTTCTTCTTATTTTTTTTTGTTTTTCCTGGTCCTAGGGCTTGAACTTGGGGCCTGGGAGCTGTCCCTGAGGTTTTTTTTGTTTGTTTGTTTGTTTTTCTCAAGGCAAGCGCTCTACTACTTGAGCTACAGTGCCACTTCTAGCGTTTTTAAGTAGTTTATTGGAGATAAGAGTCTCACACTATTTCTTGTCTGGGCTGGCTTCAAACCATAATCCTAAAAAACTTTAGAATTATTGTACTTTTTCTAGAAACATAAAATGTGTTTTATTTAAAAAGCTTATGAATATAGTTTTAGGGAATAATGACAAGGAAAAAAATCTACATATCAGTATAGTATAGTATACACACAGTATAGTATATACAATTTTTTCCTCAAATATTTTCAACCAATCGTTTGTTTAATACACAGATATGGATGCATAGGGCAAACTGTATGCAGAAAGACGCTGAAATATTAAGAGAATTACAACCGGAAAATGAATGTAGATATTGTAGCTGAGTAGCTAGGATTGCAAGTGTGAGCCACCAGTGCCCAGTTCCTAATTTTCTTATTATTATCTAATCAAAAGGGGAGAAAATGGTTTCCATTGGTAGCTAATCACATTCAGAGTTCATTCTAAAGTCTATAGGTATGTCATATAGTTATCTATTATACACAGTCAATAACTTTATCCTGGGTCATTTTCCACAAAAGCTTAAGGCTACATCAGCAACACTGATTAGATTCTAAGTCTATTTTAAAAATTCTTTCTTATGTAAATGGATAAGTATTCAATTATAATGCCCCACTATAAATGGATAAGTATTCAATTATAATGCCCCACTATAAATGTATCCTTTAAAGAAAATGTTCATGATGTAAACATCTTCATTTCCTGGAAGAGGTGCTTGAAATTTCTTAAAACTTAAGAAACCTACTTTATTCCCAGAATTCCCTTCCTAGGTATATGTTAAAGTGAAATAAAAATAACTTTCCCTCAAAATATTTGAAGAATAATGTTTATACCAGCTTTGTTAACAACAGTAAAAAAGAAAAAGAAAATAAATGTTCATCAACCAGGAAACATATAATCAACTTGTATGTTCACATAATAAAATACTACTCAGCAATAAAGTAAAATCTACCCCAAAACACAAGGGCATGAATAAATCTCAAAAAAAGTATTTGATTGATCAAAATACATTGTACTTATAAACTGTACTTACAATTGACTTATGAAATTGAAATCCCTTTGTATAACTAATTTTTTTTTAATGTGCCCACTGATTCACACCTGTAATCCTTATTATTTAGGTGGCTGAGATCTGAGGACCACAGTTTAAAGCCAGGAATGTCCATGAGATGCAAATGTTCAATTAATCATCAAAAAGACAAAAGTGGAGCTGTAGTGTAAGAGATAAAGTGCTAGTCTTAAGCAGAAAAATCAAGGACAGCTCAGGCCCTAAGTTTAAGCCCAAGACAGAACACACACACACAAAATACCAAAAAATACTGAACACAAGAGATCAGACTTCATGTAGTACTACTATACAATAGGTACAATATCACTGTACTATTTTATATGAAGTTCAAAAACAGACAAAACAGAAAACAAACCAATGCTTGTCTCTGAGGGAAATGACTGAAGAACAATTGAAAAAGATGATGAAAATTATTCATATATTGGTAGAAGTAATTGGTACTTACACAAGTATATTGAATGATTAAAGCCTATAGGTTGTACAGAACAATAAAAGTAAAATAGCTCAATAAAAATACAACTTGATGCCAGGCATGATGAAATATACTTTATAATCCCAGCATTTGGGAAGCAGAGGCAGGATTGTGAGTTTGAGGCCAGCCTAGTCTGCAAAGCATGTCTGTGCCTCAAAACAAATAAAAGAACAAACTTGAAACAATGCTCTTAATTTTTAAAAAATTCAAAACAAAAAAAACCACCTTTTTTTTAATGTAATACTTGTTTTGGCAGTTTGAACTCAAGGCTTTATGCTTACTAGGCAGGTACTCTACCTCTTACGCCATAGTCCAAGTCACATCTTTTTCTTTATTTTATAAAACTCAACAACAACCAATAAATATGATTATTGTATACTGTATAATAACAACCAATAAATATACTTATGATTACTATCTCCTGTAAGATTGCTATTCAACATGTTAAAATTCTGTTTTATTTCCCACGTAAATTAAAAACTTTGAAAAATTCTTTTGCAACCCGGCAATGAATTCAGGTAACTCATCGTTCTTTAAGAATGTCCTAACTATATCCTCTTGGAATTGCAATAAGTTTGTTCTAAGCACAATTTTCTAAGTAGGACTTGTTCATATAGTATTATATTGCTCAGTGTTACTTTTTCAGTTCATTTGTGTCACTACAATAAAAATATCATAAACTAGATAGTTTACAGAGAATGGAAATTCATTTTCTCACAGTTCGGGAACCTGGAAAGCCTAAGATCAATGCGTTAGCATTTGGTGAGGGATTCTTACTGCATTTTCACACAGTTTAAAGCAGAAGAGCAATATGCAATGAACTCTTGTCATGGCACCCTTTTAAAGATATCTATTTCCATTCATGAGGAAGAAGCCCTCAAGGCCTAATCACTTCTTGAAGTTGTCACCTTTAAAGGCCCCATCTCCTAACACTATCATACTGGTAACACCTAAAATTTGAGACACATTCACTATTAAGTCCAAGAGTAAAATTCAATTATTTGACTCCCACTTTAAGAAGTACAGTTAAAAGATTTCAAGACATATCCACTTTCAGTATATTAGCTAAAAATAATAGTAATTAAAAAATAAAATTAAAAACCAAAGGCCAACTAATAGTTTAAAATATTCTATTGGGATCAGAAAAGCTTAATAATTTAGCTAAATTCAACTAAATTACTGAAATTTAAGAAATAAATTTCTGGTAAGAAATTTACAAAACACACTAACCTTAGAAGACTTTCTTCGGCTTCTTCTTGTCCAAACTACCACCAGTTTATCTGGTTGCCTGTCAAACAGGAAAATCTAAGTTAGTAAAGTTTCATTTTAGCACTTTTTAAAGGCCTAAAATGTCATTTGCTTTAAATTACATAGTAGTACTATTAAAATAAAACTCTATATTCCAATACAGTTGATGCTAAAATGAGATCTAATTTAAATGACTAATATGTCCTTCACACACATTTTTAAAAGCATGCTAATTTATTGGGACAAACCAAGCAAAATATACTAAAAGCAAAGAGGGCATAGAATGATCTATTTCAAATTCTGAAAGAAAAACCCACCAACCTAGATTACTGTATCTAGTATTGTTAACCAGAATATTGGGAAGTTTTGTTTCATAATAAACAAAAACTAAAGGAATTCATAACCACTAAGCCAGAACTATAGAATATATCTAAAAAGATTCTAAACATAGAAGAGGAAAGTAAATACAACCAAAAAAATTTAAGAATAAATTTCACTAGAAGATAAACAAATAAGGAGTGGGGAAGAATCAAACATTTAAAAACAACAATGTGGTAAGAATTACTACATATTGCTTAATAATTTTTTTATTTATTTTATTTTTTTGTTGGTCACGGGGCCTGAACTCTGGACCTGGGCGCTGTCCCTCAGCTCTTCAGCTCAAGGCTAGTGCTCTACCATTTGAGCCACAGTGCCACTACCTATGTGGTGTTGGGGAATTGAACCCAGGGCATCATGCATTCAAGGCAAGCACTCTACCACTGAGCCACCTTTCCAGCCCCAATAACTCTATTAACTGTTGATTCTCCAATCAAAAGACACACAATGGACGGTGCCAGTGGCTCATACCTATAATCCTAGCTACTCAGAAGGCTGAGATCTGAGGATCACGGTTCAAAGCCAGCCCAGGAAGGAAACTCTGTGAGAATCTTATCTCCAATAAACCACCAGAAAACAAGAAGTGGTGCTGTGGCTCAAGTGGTAGAGCACTAGCCTTGAGCTGAAGAGCTGAGGGACAGTGCTCAGGTCCAGAGTTCAAGCCCCATGGCAGACAAAAAAAAAGACACAGAATGGTAGAATGGATTAAAAACTCAATTATTGTTTCCTATTTGAATCACATTTCCTATAGGAATCACAACTCAAAGCTTAAAATGAAACAAAAGAAAATAATATTACCATCAAATAGAACCTGAGAGCAAGAAGGAATCTCTACATTCATATCTGACAAAGCAGTCTCCAAAATTAAACAGAAAAGATAAAGAAAGGCACTTCATTTTGATAAAGGGAGCAATCCATCAAGAGGATATAATTATTGTAAACATATATGCCCTAAACATTAGTACATCCCATTTTATTTTTAAAAAACTACTGAACAGGGCTGGGAAGGTGGCTCAATGATAAAATGCTTGCCTTGCATGCATGAGGCCCTGGGTTCGATGCCTCAGCACCACATAAGCAGAAAAAGGCAGAAGTGGCATTGTGGCTCAAACGGTAGAGTGCTAGCCTTGAGCTGAAGAGCTGAGAGGCAGCATCTAGGCTCAGAGTCCAGACCCCATAACCAACCAACCAACCAACCAATAAATAAATAAATAAACACTACTGGACAGAAAGCACAGATACATCCAACATAATAAAATAGTGGGTAACTTTAATAATTCACTCTCATTAATAGATAGGCTATCCAGACAAAAAAATCAACAAAGAAACTTCAGAATTAAATGACACTATAGATAAAATGGTCTTAATAGACATGTACAGAATATTCCACCAAACAGCTAATATATATATATATATATATATATATATATATATATATATATACACACACACACATGTATATATATATATATATATATATACACACACGTATATATATATATATATATATATATATATATATGTGTGTGTGTGTGTGTGTGGGTATATATATATATGGAACTTTCTCTGAAACAATGTATTTTAGGATATAAATCAACTCTTGACAAAAAACAGAAATAACTTACTATATTTTATCAAAATACAATGGAATAAAACTAGAAATCAATAGCAAAAGAAACTACCTAAAATATTCAAACATAGACACTGAACATTATATTGGTGAATGATCAGTATCATTAAAGAAGTAAATATGGACTTGAAATGAAATTCATACAACCAATTGAACACATTTTACCAGAATCTTTTGAATATAACAAAGGGAGTTCTAAGAGGAAAATTTATGTCTGTAAGTACCTAAAAGAGAATCAAAGAGGAGCCCGGTACCTCCTAATAATGTCTGTAATCCTAGATACTCACTCTGGAGGCTAAGATCAAGAAGATCTCAAGTTGAAGCCAGCGATATGAAAAGTTTGTTAGTTTTCACATGAACAAATAGCTGGACACAGTGATGGGCACAAATCATCAGTTACACAGAAGACTAAATCAGGACGTCAGTGGTTCCAAGGCCTGCTAGGCCAATCTCAACAGAAAAATCTAGGGCAGCACTGCACATATCTCATCCCAAAAAGTAGGATTGCAGTCCAAAGTCAGCCTAGGTAAAATGTGAGATGCCATTGGAAGGGTTCAGACTTTCAAACAGTGTCTTGGTTTCACTGTTATTGGTTTCTTTTTCTTTTTTTTTCTTTTTTTTTTGTCAGCCATGGGGCTTGAACTCTGGGCCTAGGCACTGTCCCTCAGCTCTTTAGCTCAAGGCAAGTGCTCTATCATTTGAGCCACATGCCACTGCCAGTTTTCTGGTGGTTTATTGGAGATGAGTCTCACAGACTTTCCTGCCCGGGCTGACTTTGAACCACAATCCTCAGATCTCAGCCTCCTGAGTAGCTAGGATTACAGGCATGAGCCACCGGAGCCCGGCTCTTTTTTTTTTTTTTTAAAGTAAAGCTATATACAGATTGTGAATTAACAAAATAAATTTCTAAATGTAAAAATGAAAAAAGAAGAAAAACCGACATTAGGCTCAAAAATAACCAGAGTAAAAAACAGCTGGAGGTAGAGTATGTCTCAAATGATAAGAGTGCTTACTTCCTGTCTAATAAACACAGAGAGCCCTCAACGCAACAAAAATCAAAGAAGATTCTGTTGTGAAGGCTCATAGCTATTAATTTTAGCTAAGACTGGGAGGATTCTGGTTCCAGGCCAGCCCAAGCAAAAGAGGTTAACAAGCTCCCTAGCTAAACAGAAAAAAATAAAAATCTGAGTATGGTGGCACATATCTGGCAGGAAGTAAAACTAAAGTCCAGATCAGACCAGGCAAAAAGGCAAAACCCTACCTCAGTAACTTGAGAAAGAACAGGAGGCATGGCTCAAGTGGTAGAACACATGCCTAGCAAGGATAAAGTCCTGAGTTCAAACTCTAGTACCAGAAAAGAAAGATTGAGGGGCTGGGGGGGGGGGGGGAAGAGGGAGGGAGAGAAAAAGAGAGAAAGAGAGGGAGATGGAGAGAGAGAGAGGAGTTCAAGGCAAGCCAGAGCAAAAAGTTAGCAAGACACTATCTCAAAAAGCAAGCTTGGGAGCACCCACACTGCCCTCTTCCCCATAATTCCACATCGAGGCATGTGGTCCCAAGCCTCCAAAGGCCTGTCGAAGCAGGTCAAGCTTCACCTGTGATTACTTCAGGCAAATGGAAATAAGGAATGATCACAGGAGAACTGGAGCTACCACACAGTGAGCATAGCATACCTACTGCTGTTAATACAGTGTCTCTACTCTTGTGTGTTCTAAACAGATAGTGACACAATATGCATTATGACATGCCCAAAGATATTAATCACAGCCAAATAATCCATAGGGAGGTTACACTATGGTGTGTAGCTAGAATCAAAGCCAACATTATGTAACGTACTAGTACCCTGAAGACATATCTTCAGGAGAAAGCTGCTTACTAAGAAGTCTCCTGATAAAACTGTCTGTTCAGGGGCTGGGAAGGTAGCTCAGTGGTAGAGTGCATGCCTTGCAAGCATGAGGCCCTGGGTTCGATTCCTCAGCACCACATAAACAGAAAAAGCCGGAAGTGGTGCTGTGGCTCCAGTGGTAGAGCACTAGCCTGGAGCTGAAGAGCTGAGGGACAGCGCCCAGACCCAGAGTTCAGGCCCCATGACCGGCAAAAAAAAAAAAAACAACTGTCTGTTCATTAGAGCTCAAATTGCAGTGTAGGAACACAAGAAATATGAAAAAAGCCAAAGCAGTAGGATGTCTTCAAAAGAACTCTCATATTCCAAACAATTTTAAATGGATGAAAAATTTGATAAAGAATTTTAAAGAAGCTGGCACAGGAGTGGCACATCTGTAGTTCTAGTTTTTCAGAAGGCTGAGATCTAGAGGACTGGTTTGGAGCCAACAGGGAAAGAAAAGTCTTCAAGACTAACTTCAATTAACCAGCAAAATGCCACTATGGAGACATGGTTCAAGTGGTGGCTGAGCAAATATGAAAGTTCTGAGTCCAAACATTGGTACTAGCCAAAAAAATAAATGATTATAAAATAGCACAATGAAATCCAGGAGAATACAGATAGTTAGGAAGATAATACAGGTTATTAATGAAAAATTATGTAAAAAGAGATTCTAAGAAGAACCAAACTCAAAAAATACAGTTGAAGGACTCAACAGATTAAAGTGGGACAAAGAATATTTGAACTTAAAAAGGACTTCTGAAATATCTTAGTCTGACAAAAACAAAACAAAACAATATGCTGCCTACAAGAAACCCATTTCACCAGTGTAAAGTGAAAGGATGGAAAATGATACTCTATTCAATTCAAAACAATATAAATAGAAGTAGCTATACTTTTATCTGACAAATAGACTTCAAGAAAAAAATGTGACTAAGGTCACTGAGTAATGGATGGAAGTGGAAGATATTAAGTGAAATAAGCCAGACATAGAGAGAAACATGATGCATATCCTCAGGTGGAAGCTAAAAAAGTTGACTAAGAGTAGAACATTAATTACTGGGGATTGGGAAGGCTTGAGGAAGGGCAGAAATGGGGAGATTGGACTTGATTAATGCATGTTGTATGCATGGGATGAAATATCACACTGCTG